GCCGTTCCCCCTTCACCCCCCCCCCTTGTTTGCCCCCCCCCCCCCCCCCCAAACACACACACACACACACGTCCCCCCTTTTCTTCTCCCTGTAAAATACCTCTCCAATCCCCCCATCCTGCCAAACGCAGACCATTAACCATTTCCTATGAGCTGCTGGTAAGAGGAAGGAAACAGCATGCCAGGCTTTCACACAACACGCGGCGCTAGGAAAGTTCTGCGCCCTTGAAGTCCAGCGAGCCGGGGTAAAAGTCACGCTAATTGACGGGTGAGCTTAATTCAAATGAGCCCGTAACTAAAATCGGACTAGAAAGAGAGTGGGGTGACCTGCGATAGGGCGAAACTTTAGAAACCTTTCAATCGGCCCCGGCGTCAAACCGCTTTGATGTGCTCGACGCTTTTCATCAGTTTCCTCTCTGCGTATGAAAAAGCCATTTCAAGTACAAAGGCTCGTGAGCACATTTGTAATTTGTCTCTTCTTTCGAGAACAAATGGACGTGGCAAAAACCATTTTCCCTTGTTCTGAGAGAGATCTGAATGAAAGTGCATATGAAAGGTGCGAGGCAGGAGAGAGCGGCAGTGAGGACGGACGTAAAGGGGTGCACGATCTCGGCCCGATTTTTCACTCAAGTCAAACCCTATGGAAACCCTCGTCCACAGGCTCTTCGAGAGAGACGGACACAAATGAGGAGGATAGAGAGGTGAAAAAACAGGGGGCAAATGAGAATAAAGATCCAAATCCTCCACTGTGAAAACTGTGGCACCGGGGAAATGTATGCACACCTTGTTTGGCTAATAACCTGTAGTCTTGAATGAGGGAGCTTATAATTTCACACCCGGGAGGCAGGGGAGATGAGTGTGAATTGAAGGAGGACAGCTCCACGTTGGCGGTTCCCCAGGCCGTCACCACCAGAGCAGAGAAGCCAAGACCACTGACTCCTGGAATAAAATGCAAGAGTCACGAATACTTACCATAAACCATGCACTAATTTCATTCAGAGGCCCCAATGTGACAAACATATTTACTTGACCCTACAGATATCAATCCCACATGGACTTATACTTGTTTTTAAATTTTTTTTATTAATTTGATACTTTCAAATACAATAAATGCTAAATTATGCATGAATCTGAACTATCTGAAGAAATCTGAACATTGAATAAAGCCAGGTTCAAAACTCAAAGGTTTTTTTTTGCACAGAGGATTTTGGACATGTATTTCTATCACTCCATAATTCAGAAAATACTGTCAACAGTTAGGAAAAATAACTAATAAATAATCAATTAATTAATTAAGTTGAAGAAATAAAATGTATAAAATCAAGCAAATGCTCTAAGAACAAACCCCTCTTGCAGTTGTAAATACTGCTAAAGTGAAAATTTCTCTTTTTTTTTTACAAAAACTGATTGAAATTATACACTGAACAAAATTATAAACGCAATACTTTTTGTTTTTGCCCCCATTTTTTATGAGTTGAATTCAAAGATCTAAGACTTTTTCTATGTACACAAAAGGCCTATTTCTCTCAAATATTGTTCACAAATCTGTCTAAATCTGAGTTAGTGAGCACTTCTCCTTTGCCGAGATAATCCACCCACCTCACAGGTGTGGCATATCAAGATGCTGATTAGACAGCATGATTATTGCACAGGTGTGCCTTAGGCTGGCCACAATAAAAATTTTATCACACAGCACAATGCCACAGATGTCGCAAGTTTTGAGGGAGCATGCAATTGGCATGCTGACTGCAGGAATGTCCACCAGAGCTGTTGCCCGTGAATTGAATGTTAATTTCTCTACCATAAGCCGTCTCCAAAGGTGTTTCAGAGAATTTGGCAGTACATCCAACCGGCCTCAAAACCGCGGACCACGTGTAACCACACCAGCCCAAGACTTCCACATCCAGTATCTTCACCTGCAAGATCGTCTGAAACCAGCCAACCGGACAGCTGCTGCAACAATCGGTTTGCATAAC